ATAAATTTTTTAAAAATTATTCTTATCTTGCTAACATTGCTACTAACCGTTTAGCGCAGTTTTTTTTTTTTTTTTTTTTTTTTTAAATTAAAGTGTGTTATTTTATTATGTCATCGGGATAATTATTCGACCAGCGGAATCTGTCTTGATTTGCCAAGGGTGTTTTTCATTTTTTGGCCATTAATGTCACATTTTGTCTTCTTTAAATTTAATATTTGGCAATGGAAAAAAGTTTGGGAAAATAACCGTGGTACCGAACGTGTAATCAGGGTACCTACTAGGCAAACTGATTTCAGGTCTCATTTACGAAAAAAGTCGTGTTGGGCTGAAAGTGTTCTTTGACGTTATTACTTTTGTCATGACTACCCCTGTTTAATTACAGAAAAAATTTTAAGATTTTTATTTAATTTTATTTCAAGACATTTTGACGTATTGTCCTTAGTTAGACTTGTTTAACCATATTAGTCAGCAGTTATACCTGCGTATCTACATTTGCTCTACGGGCCATTTAAAAGGCGACGGAAATGCGGCTGTAATTTAAAGAGAAGCCTTGAGCAAACAGGAGGCGTTACAAAGATTTGCCTTTTTTAACAGAACGCCCCTCGGCTCCCCACTTCCAGACGGCGAATAATAGTGTTTGGAATCTAATCAGTAGAGCTTTTTATGGTCGAGGTAAGGAGTGCCATTGGGTGCCAGGTTCAACGACCCCGCGTATCACACATGACTGTTCAAAGATAAAGAACGACCGAGAGAGAAACACGTCTCCCAGTTAAATTCGGTCGAATTTAAAATTTAAAATCCACCGGGGCAAGTTGGATTTGGACGGGCGGATTTTCCATCCGCCTCCAAGTCCGAGATAACTCTGGAAAGGTTCGAGCCGAACTTGAAGATTTCCGTTTCTCATAACAGTTGTGCGATAGAACGATTTAAAAATCTTTGTTGAGAAACATATTTGTTGAAAGATTCTACATGGAGAAGTTCGAGGAAATTGGAAAAACCACTTAAGACACTATTAATAGGGGTATTCGCGATCTTTGTGTTAACCTGTTAACTCTGTTAGGTCGTGTTAGATCGAGAAAAATGATGACGTAGATTTGTAAGAATTGGCTAGTTAACATTGCTCGATCTAACAGGCCAGGGCCAATGTTATATGTTAGGTCGAAAATGTAGTCACATTGCTAGCCGTTAGGGCGTAGGTAACCAACATGGCAGCCATGAATTTAACAGCTGTTTTTTGTTTACACGAATTTTTATTCTTAAACACGCATTAATTAAATCAGACCAATACATTTCTTTTGTCTGACCTGTCTTTAAACTTAAATTCATCATAGATACATCCCTAATCCTATAAAGGTGTAGGCCGTTAGAGGTTAGGATACAGGTTAGGTATGTCGGCACGAATTGAAGCGTGTCATTTGTTAGTACTTTTTGAGTGCACAGCTAGCATTTTGAATGAAAGGGTTCCTTAATTTTCCTTGTTTATTAACCTCCGGCATCAATACCAAGGAATTAAAATCGAAAGGCATACTCAAGAATCAAGACGCAAAAGAACGTTCATAAAGATATTTATACCTATTTTTTGTATTGAAATATATCATTTTGTACACTAGAGGTGTATATACTGTCAGGCAAAAAATTCCGCCCACTTGTAATATAAATTGATTTTTATATAATAATCAAAGTTTCACTTTTCAACGTCTAATAATTGAGTCTTTGCCTAAAAGAGTAAAAAAATGTAAATTGCTAAGGAAAACGAAAAAAGAATAAATAAAGAAAAAATTTGTTTTACATTTTTAATTTATATCCTCTTGCCTTAATTACATTTCGAAGACGCCTCTGCATACTTTCTACCAGACTGGAAATGTCTCTTTGCTGGAGGTTAGCACATTCTTCACGAAGAGTCCTTTCAAGGTCGTGGAGTTATCAGGTTTATCAGTTATCTCTTATTCATAAGAGGTGACTTTTGAGGTTATCCCATAAATGTTCGATGGGGTTCAAGTCTGGAGATCGGGCTGACCAGGCTAAGACGCTGATGCCATGCTGTTGAAGGTACGTTCGTGCTATGTAAGCAAAATCTGGACGGGTACTATCGCGCGTTGGAAGATTGTCGCTGATTTCATCGTGGATAAGCATGGTGTTCCAAAATTTCATCCATGTAGCGACTGGCCGTCAAAGACCCTCCACGAACAACAACCAACTCTGTGCGACTATCCATTGAAATTCCTGTCCAGGCCATCACTGAGCTACGTTGAAAAGCTTGGCTCTGGGAAAAATTACAAGCTTCGTACCTTTCGTTTTGCCTTCTCTTTCACGCCCATCTGGAGATCCTAGAGCAAATCTACACTCATCTGTAAAAAGTTCAGCAGACCATTCGTCCAATGGCAATGGCTTTGCTCTCAAACAAATGCGAGCCGTGCAACTCTGTGGTCTCGTCAATTCTGGCCTTCTTGGCGAAAAGCCATCAGTCCATACTCTTCATCAAGCAGTGCGTTCAAAAATTTGGACACCTCGAACGTCCTGGAGCTGATGAATCGCTTTAACAGTAAGGTGCCGGTTTTGCAAAATTCTCAAATCCAATCATCCTGTGGTTGTTTTACCCTAGGCTGTCCTGAACCTGGCCTTCTATGGTAGGACCCAATTTCTCCCAAACGTCTAACATCATCTCGCATAGTTTTGTAGGGAACTCCGATGGCAATAGTCGCATACCTGATGGAACGTCCATCATCAATAAGAGCCACACCACGCGCAACATCCTCAGCCCTAAGTGGCATTTTAAAGTTTAAAAATTGAAATTAAGAAAACTAAACAGTTTATTGCTTCAGAATTCCAATGAGACTGAATAAGCATTTTAAATTCCGTAAAAAGTAAACATTGAAAAATCCTTTATCCTTGTTTTGGATTAAGGATTAAGTGTATTTACCTCTAATTGATATTCCCAATTTAAAAGATAGCATAAACAAATATATATTGGTAAAAACAATAAGACAAATTAATGGCAAAATTTTATTTGATCGAGAAAATGAAAACAATTTTTGCCTGATAGTGCATTTTAGGTGTCGTGTTATATTGTGTTGCACAGAATTATCAATGGAGTGACATACAGTTGATCTTCAATCCGCAAAACGAAAGAGAAAAGTTCGGACAGAGAGAAACATCGGACAAGGCTGTACGATGCGAACCGTTAGCTATTCGGGGAATGTCTTCTTTCATATCGAAACACTCGGCCAGCATCAATGGCCAACTTTCAAAAATCATAACCGCCGACGAGGAAGAGTCGGCCACTTTCTCTTTAGCCGCAGACAGACAAACTAGGGTTAATGAACCTCAAATGTTAAGCCTGTTTAAGCTTAGCAACACTAGTTTATTTAATAACTGTGCCCAAATCTTAGGTTGAAGTCGGAGAATGGAAACGCGGAAAAAGGAAAGCGCGAAACGCCCAGACAGACGTTTTCCACGTACAAAAAGCTAATATCTTAGAGGTATTCACGATGTTTTTTAGATTGTAATTCGTGTTAACTCAAATAGAGAAATGTCCAGTAAGATCGTGAACGCCTCCATCTTTTCTTAGCATGTTAAACTTTAATTTTTCCGCAATGCTGCGCGTGGCGATTGGTAGAACCAAAAATAAAGCTATAACAGTCCTTGAAGGCTTGTTATTCTTATGGTTTTGTTTTCTGGTAAATTGTAAGATGCCAGAAGTTAATAAAAACGGAAAATTAAGCAACACTTAGATTCAAAATGCTGCACGCGAAAGTACTAACAAATGACATGTTTCAATTCGTGCCGACATACCTAACCTGTATCCTAACCTCTAACATCCTACTGAGAGTATACGGACAGGTCAGAAATGAACAAAAGAAATGTATTGGTCTAATTTAATTAATAATTTAAGAATAAAAATACGTGCAAACAAAAAAACAGCTGTTAAATTCATGGCTGCCATGTTGGTTACCTAACGGATAGCATTGTGATTACATCTTCGACGAAACATTGAAACGTTAAATTGTAAGATGCCAGAACTTAATAAAAAAAAGGAAAATTAATCAACTCTTTCATTCAAAATGCTATCTATCCACTCGAAAACTACTAACAAATGTCCTGCTTCAATTCGTGCTGACTGTAACTGTGCTAACTTGTATCCTAACCTCTAACAGCCTACAACTTTATAAGACATGAGATGTATCTATTATAAATGAGAGTATAAGAACAGTCAGAAATTACCAAAAGAAATGTAAATGAAAATTAATCCATTTTTTCATTCAAAATGCTATCTATGCACTCGAAAAGTACTAACAAATGCACGTTTCAATTCGTGCCGACATACCTAACCTGTATCCTAACCTCTAACAGCCTACAACTTTATAGGATTGGGGATGTATCTATGATGAATTTGAGTTTAAAGACAGGTCAGAAATTAACAAAAGAAATGTATTGGTCTGATTTAATTAATGCTTATTTAAGAATAAAAATTCGTGTAAACAAAAAACAGCTGTTAAATTTATGGCTGCCATGTTGGTTACCTACGCCCTAACGGCTAGCAATGTGACTACATCTTCAACATAACATCTAACATTGGCCCTGGCTTGTTAGATCGAGCAATGTTAACTAGCCGATTCTTATAAGTGTACGTCATCATTTTTCTCGATCTAACACGACCTAACAGAGTTAACAGGATTAACACAAAGATCGTGAATACCTCTACTGGCTTTCTTTGACTTATTGTTAATACTTTCATATTGGTTTATTCTGTGTTTAATAGTATTTCATAGTTTTCTCTGTTTTTACCGTGATTGCTTTAAGGTTAATCGGTTTCAATGACCTTCTTTGATTTTTATCAGTCGGATTTCTTGATCGACTGGGAGGTATTTGGGAGAATGGCCGTTAATGTCATAAAAATCGAATAGTACATAATACAGTTATTCAGTTTAGTACAGTTACTTTGAAATGACAGATTTTCGTCGAAGTTATGTATTTTTATTTTATATATTTTCATGTTGCAGGAACTTGGCGATCGGAATTGGAATTCAGAACTTCCCGGAGGGCCTCGCCGTGAGCCTCCCACTGAAAGCAGCCGGTTTCTCAACGCTGTCGAGCTTCTGGTAAAACCTCAAACATATTTTTTCCAGTGGTAAAAAGCTTCGAAATTTTTATTTAAAAAAAAAGGCTGGATCGTTTCGTTTTCATGAATGAAACGACGAATTTCCTCTTTAGGCTTTTGTCTTATCGAACGAGGAAATTACGAATTTCGGCAGCGAGGGATGGCGATAGCCTCTGCTTCAGGAACAACAAAGAGGGAAGTGAGGAAGTCCTAAACAGGAAGGTCGACGAAAAAATAAAAATTATCTGTAGGAACACTCAACAGCCTGGCAGTAACAGCTCATCCGATGATGATAAAACTGATTTTTAACTATCTTTAACGGGCGTCGGTGGCCGCAACGGTTTAGGCGTTGACACGGCGCTCATCACTTTAAGGTGAAGGTCCCGGGTTCGAATCCAGCCACCCTGCATTCGAACCCGACCTACTTACCACCTCGTAGTTGAAATCCCCTTGTAAAAAAAACTTTAGTAAAATGTGTATAAAAATAAGCAAACAGATTAATATGATTAATCTTAGAATAGTATTGAAGTTATTATTACGCATTGCTCTACATGGAAATGTGATTGACGCTGGGATAGTTTCTGAAATTCCTACAGCCATTTATGATGATCCCTTTGATCCGAGTAGAAGAGAGCACTGTAATTTATGGTTTTGATTGGTATTGTATGTTGGTAACATGCTGGCCCGAAACCTGTTATCCGTCCGTCTGTATTATGTCGAGGAGGGGGGAGGGTTTAAAACTGTGGGAATTTTATTTCGCAATTTCTTCTCCGTAAAATTTAATCTGGGATGTAATCTAAATAACAGCTCGGCAAAGAGGGAAAAACCGATAAGGCCTGTTTGTACTCATAGTTCTCCAGGCGAGGCGCCTACGGCCCATTAACATATGGTAATGCCCTTCGGATCCAGCCGTAATTACCGGCCGTGGAGAGTAATTGCAATGGATTTTTATGATCGTTAGAACCTAAGGGGTGACTAATTGAAGACGAGGATGTTTTATAATATTTATTACCAGTGGAATTCTCACTTTGTTCGTGTTTACCGGTGGAAAAATAATAAAAGTCGCTAATTGGAAGGTTTTCGAGAAATGGATAAACCATCTTTGCTCTCTATTCACGAGTTTTGTTATAAAAATTTGGCTTTTTTCCCCTCGGCGAGACTCCGCCTAGTGGTGGAAATAGGCCTATCTAGGAATCCGTTAGGCAACATCCGCCGGAGGAAGTGGAGGCAAGGACACCCACTGACTCCGCCTGAGTACATCCATTAGGACAAGTTACGGCCCAGTTTCGGGATTTTCGTGGGTGCCGGCCGAAAGCGAGGGTCGGCCTAATTGCCCTAAGAGAATTGCCTTTTGACTTTGCCTTCTAATGACCTCCTCTCACTCTAATCTACCGCCGGACGGCCGCCCATGCTTTCGCATATGAATATCGCAATTTCTAGTAAAACATTCATTTCCGGCCGGAGAGTTCCCCTGGGTCAATTGCGCCTTCCCACATTCAAAAGTTCTCGGATATTTAGAATATTTCCAACCTCGGCTGGACGTTTCGACCTACTCGTTACATGATGTAAAAGCTACGTGATTGATTCGACTGTGCGAGTCGAGATTTCTTCTAGATTGACGTCAAATAAGTTGTAGAATTTTTGAAGCTGTATTGTTAATCCACAAATAAATTGTTACAGTTTGGAAAAAAAAATCAAGCCCGAACAGAGTGAGTGAAGGAAAGGGAGATTGATAGAGACAAAAAGGCAAATATACAAATATAGGTGGAACAGAGACAGAGAGACACAGAAAATGTATACACGTCTTATAGAGGGTATCTCAGAGAAATTGCGAAAAAAATTTGGTTGATAGTACACCCCTAGGGTATACAAAAGCGACAGTTGATAGTCACAATAGGGGTATTCACTGTCTTTGTGTTAACCCTGTTAGCTCTGTCGTGTTAGATCGAGAAAAATGATAACTTAGACTTGCAAGAATCGGCTAGTTAACATTGCTCGATCTAACAGGCGCCAATGTTAGATGTTAGGTCGGAAATGTAGTCACATTGCTAGCCGTTAGGGCGTAGGTAACCAACATGGCGTCCATGAATTTAACAGCTTTTTTTTGTTTACACGTATTTTTATTCTTAAGTACGCATTAATTAAATTAGACCAATATATTGATTTACCAATTTATTGATTAATGTTTCTAAATTAGCTTCCATATTTCTACCGATTTATAATCAATGAATCATAAAACACCATGAAGAGATTAGGAGTAGTCACAATCTTTGTGTTAACCCTGTTAACTTTGTTAGGTCGAGTTAGATCGAGAAAAATGATGACGCAGACTTGTAAGAATCGGCTAGTTAACATTGCTCGATCTAACAGGCCAGGGCCAATATTAGATGTTAGGTCGAAAATGTAGTCACATTTCTATCCGTTAGGGCGTAGGTAACCAACATGGCAGCCATGAATTTAACAGCTGTTTTTTGTTTACACGTATTTTTATTCTTAAATAAGCATTAATTAAATCAGAACAATACATTTCTTCTGTTAATTTATGATCTGTCCTTACAGTCTCATTCGTAATAGATACATCCTCTATCCTACAAAGTTGTAGGCTGTTAGAGGTTAGGATACAGGTTAGGTATGGCGGCACGAATTGAAACGTGTCATTTGTTAGTATTTTTCGAGTGCATCGATAGCATTTTGAATGAAAGAGTTGATTAATTTTCCTTTTTTTATTAACTTATGGCATCTTACAATTTAACACAAAACAAAACCATAACCAAGAACAACAGGCCTTCAAGGACTGTTATAGCTTTACTTTTGGTTCTACCAGTCGCCACGCGCAGCATTGCGGAAAAATTAACATTTAACATGCTACGAAAAGAAGGGGGCGTTCACGATCTTACTGGACATTTTTCTATTCGAGTTAACATGAATTAACAACTAATAAACATCGTGAATACCCCTAATATGTAGGAACTATTGGGCTTCCTGTATGAATTTAAAAAACAAAATATAATTTTTCACACTAAAATATTACTTGAATTTGAGTTTAAAGACAGACCAAAAGTTAACAAAAGAAATGTATTGGACTGAGTTAATAAATGCGTATTTAAGAATAAAAACACGTGTAAACAAAAAACAGCTGTTAAATTCATGGCTGCCATGTTGGTTACCTACGCCCTAACGGCTAGCAATGTGACTACATTTTCGACCTAACATCTAACATTGGCCCCTGTAGATCGAGCAATGTTAACTAGCCGGTTCTTACAAGTCTACGTCATCATTTTTCTCGATTTAACACGACGTAATAGAGTTAACAGGGTGTAACAATTTAATACAAAATAAACAACAACAAGCCTTCAAGGACTGTTATAGCTTTATTTTTAGTTCTACCAATCGCCACGCGCAACATTACGGAAAAATCAAAGTTTAATATGGTAAGAAAAGAAGGGGGCGATTTTTTCATGGTTTTTACATGGAAACGTTACCTTACTTGATAAAAACACAAATATCTAAAAGTTTGGATTTAAACACCATTGGATTTACTTTTGAACTTAAGGACTGCCCAAACAGAAATCCCTGACAGTACGATCGGCGAAACGAGCTGGCCCAGGGATGTCTCCTCCTTATCACGTGGGATTTTGCTGGAACAACCGGGCACACACTTGTTGGGTGTAGGTTTACAGTTCAGTAACGAACAGTGGTGAAGATTTAAGAATTAAAATCGTCGAAGCTTCTGATAAACTTAGAACCAATTTATCCGCACAAGTAACTGTAAGTGCCATGTGAAAATGAGCTCGGGTGTGTGTCCGACATCGTGGTAATAATTTTGAAAACATTTGTAATGTGCTTATAGATCCTTCAATCATTTATAAAACTTGAGAACCAAACAATTATACATCATCATCATCACTTGTGCCGAGATCGTTGATGAGTGGTTATGGATTTTCTTATACCCCTCGAAAGATTAATAAACAATGGAATTTTCGTGTGTTTGTCAATCTCTAGGATCAAACATAAAGCCATTATCTCCTAAAAACCAAACTTTGTGGTATTTTTCAAATTTGAAAATTTATTACGGCTCTTTATTGAAAAATAGTATAAAGGACATTTAGTGCTGAATGCAAAAATCGATGGAAAAATTAGCAGTGATTGAAGGTACAGGTGATAAAAGGTGCTCATCAAATCACACGATTTTTTTTATCGCACTTTCCCTGGGATACCCTGTATACATGTCATAACTGGGGATTGAATTTACAATCAAACCGTAACCATCAACAATTCTATGCCATGAATATAATCCAATCGTTCTAGTCTAAATAGTATTTTATAACATAAACTTTTTTTAAACAATTTAAAGGGATTTTTCTTTAAATAGGACAACCCTCAATCATTGCGTATTTAACACAGCTTTACTTGATTTTCAAATACATATTGATTTGGAGCCATCAATTCCCACATGATTTGAGTTAGTAAATGTGCACAGTGCTGCTCTGTGCATGTTGCTAAGTTAATAAATTGCAAAACCATTGTGAAAAACGACTTGTGCACAAAATCTGGTCAAATAAAGCGATATCTAAGCTATTTTTATATTCAAATGTACATTTGAATTTAAAAATAATGAAATTTATATGTAATGATATATTACTATTCATATATTTATACTGAACCTTTTTATGTAAATTTTGGTTCTTCAGATGTGATGATCGTTACATTTTTCTGTGTAGATATTTAAAACGCCTCCTTCTTGCCCCCTTCCCATAAATTCTAACCTTTTAATGTAAATTTTGGTTCGTCAGATGTCATGATCGCTAAATTTTCTGTGCAGATATTTAAAATGCCTCCTTCTTGCCCCCTTCCCATAAATTCTAATCTTTTAATGTAAATTTTGGTTCTTCAGATGTCATAATCGCTAAATTTTCTGTGTAGATGCCTCCCATAAATGCTAATCTTTCAATGTAAATTTTGGTTCTTCAGATGCGATGATCGTTAAATTTTCTGTCTAGATATTAAAAATGCCTCTCCTCTCGTCCTCTTACCATAAATTCTAACCTTTTAATCTAAATTTTGGTTCTTCAAATGTCATTATCGTTAAATTTTCTGTGTAGATATTTAAAATGCCTCTCTTCTTGCCCACGTCCTATAAATGCTAATCTTTCAATGTATATTTTGGTTCTTCAGATGTCATGATCGTTACATTTTCTGTGTAGATATTTAAAATGCCTCCCTTCTCGTCCACTTCCTAGAAATGCTAACCTTTTAATGTAAATTTTGGTTCTTCAGATGTCATAACCGTTACATTTTCTGTATAGATATTTAAAATGCCTCCCTTCTAGTCCACTTCCTAGAAATGCTAACCTTTTAATGTAAATTTTGGTTCTTCAAATGTCATTATCGTTAAATTTTCTGTGCAGATATTTAAAATGCCTCCTTCTTGCCCCCTTCCCATAAATTCTAACCTTTTAATGTAAATTTTGGTTCTTCAGATTTGCTGATCGTTACATTTTCAGTGTAGATATTTAGAATGCCTCTCTTCTTGTCCTCTTCCCAGAAATGCTAATCTTTTAGTGTAAATTTTGGTTCTTCATAGGCGATGATCGTTGCATTTTTTGTGAACATATTTAAAATGTCTTTCTTCTGGTCCACTTCCCAGAAATGCTAATCTTTTAATGTAAATTTTGGTTCTTCAGATGCGATGATCGTTAAATTTTCTGTCTAGATGTTAAAAAATGCCTCTCTTCTTGTCCTCTTCCCAGAAATGCTAATCTTTTAATGTAAATTTTGGTTCTTCATAGGCGATGATCGTTGCATTTTTTGTGAACATATTTAAAATGTCTTTCTTCTGGTCCACTTCCCAGAAATGCTAATCTTTTAATGTAAATTTTGGTTCTTCATATGCGATGATCGTTGCATTTTTTGTGAACATATTTAAAATGTCTTTCTTCTGGTCCACTTCCCAGAAATGCTAATCTTTTAATGTAAATTTTGGTTCTTCATATGCGATTATCGTTGCATTTTTTTGTGAACATATTTAAAATGTCTTTCTTCTGGTCCACTTCCCAGAAATGCTAATCTTTTAATGTAAATTTTGGTTCTTCAAATGTGATGATCGTTATATTTTCTATGTAGATGCCTCCCAGAAATGCTAATCTTTAAATGTAAATTTTGGTTCTTCAGATGTGATGATCGTTATATTTTCTATGTGGATGCCTCCCTTCTTGTCCCCTTCGCATAAATGCTTTCTTTCTATGTTACAGGTATGGTCAATTGAGCGGTATGGTCGAGCCCGTGTTCGGCCTGGTCGGCGCTATCCTCGTGTCAGCGGCGCAGCCCATCCTGCCGTACGCCATGGCTTTCGCAGCAGGTGCGATGATCTACGTCGTCGTCGACGACATCATCCCGGAAGCGAATACGAAGTGAGTGGAACAAGCCGAATCGGCCCGGCCTCGGCCGGGATGACATTCCACGGGGCATTCCCCGTCAAAGAGAAAGGTGCAAGGTTCAACGTCCTGATCGCCGCATTCTTCAACGGCCCCGCTCTCCTCCTCTTCCTAGCATCCAGTCTGCTACCTCTACCCCTTCTACCTCTCCCAACAATCGCACAATTCAAAAAGAGCCTATCTCCACTCGGAAAATCCGTTCAAAACGACCTATCATCAACCTGAATTTTTTTTATGAAATCAACGGGCGACTTGTCCGATTCACCTCCTGATCAAAAAAACACTGCTAATAATAAAGTATGAATGTGAAAGCCCGATGGTGCAAGGTCCGGTTTTTAGTTTGGCCTTTTTTCGTTTACAAGAATTCCCTTATCGAGTATTTTTATATTCTCGAGTCACTATGTAAATGTATATCGTTGTGCGAGAGAGAGGCGACATACTGTCTCGAGGCTTTTATCTTATGGAAAAATGTGCACTTTCTCTTCTTAATGACTTTTTCTCGGTCAACCAGTTTTGGCACTGGGCAAGAGGGGCGAAAGTCGAGGTCAGGTGTATAAATCCCTCGTGGTAACACACCGGTCGGGTATATTGTATGAGCTGCGTTAGAAATATAACTACACGATGTTTTGAGCTTTATTTACACGAGTAGTGGTATGGCCGGTGAAAAGTTCGTGGAGAACGGTTATCGGAAGTTGGCAGAAAAATCCGGCACAGAACGGCAGACTGGCGAAAATGGGTCGATCGGATTCCTCCGCGAGACCTCTTTATTGCACAACAGGCATTGGACCACCCGTAAAAAGAGGAATATTAATCCGTCTCGAAGTGGCCAGGGGAGTCCCTTCTCTCTTTCCTTCTTCCTCAAACGCTGGTCCCATTTCCGCCGAAGAACACACGAGAACACGCCATCGCGGCAGAAACATTTTCAGAAAGGCCTAAAGAACCCCCCCGCCCCGCCCCATCGCACGTTTTACGGTGAACGACCACGCAAATTGTCCTCCGGCTACGGCTGAAAACCAGCCCAGGATGCTGTCGGCTTTTTGTGATTGGTGCAGTGTTAAATCCTTCCTTATTTCATGGTATTAAAATCCGACTCGTCCCGCAAAACCGCGGCCGCACAGAAACACTAAAAGATCAAAATTGATAAACTCCATGATTTACGCGAGTTTTAATGAGAAAATCACCGTGCTGGACGGTCCATTGTTGTCTACACCCGTGGGACAATAGTCAACTTGTAATAACTGTCCGTCTCGAGATATTTTTACGATGCGGTGAAGTCGAGCCGGTTTGACCTCACTCTTTCCTTCCGAGTCTTCACCCCATTTTCTATGCTTTTTCTGGTTCATCATTACCCTTAAATATACGGAATGGCATTCAGGTTAATCTCAGGTTAATTATGAGTTCTACTCCTTGCACGAATTGTAACAAAATCACCTCGGTGTCCAATCAATGACAGATATCGGCAGACATTATGTTTTTCCCAAAAACCGTATGACCCTCCTTACACGTGTGGACGGCGCGCTCGATGCAACTGCGACGCAACTTTTGTCACGACTCCTTCGTAGGTAGGCAACCACTCGCGGGTCGACACCTTTTCAACTGAGTTGCGCGTTTCATGTTAATATTCAATGGAGGCGTCGAACATAAAATTTGTACAGAAGTTGGAAAAACATCCTGAATTTTACGGTTACTCCCTCCCTGCTTAGTCCATAAAAGACACAACGGCGAAGGCGTGGAATAATGTGTTTTTTTTTTTTTATGAGTTGTACGAATTACCACGACCTAATGGTAATACTAGAACTTCTGAATGAACAAAAAAGTAAATAAAGATAACAAAAATATAGCGAGCTATTAAAAAAAGTTAATTAAATATAAAAACTGCTCTCGTTATGTCATTAATCTTATTCAGGGCTCAGCATCGTATTGGAATATTAGTGGTATTTTTTCTGCCAACATGCCAAAAGTTCTTTCAATTGTTTTCCTTCCGCGCATTAATCTGTAATTGATTGTACAGGATATTGTCCTGCTCATCAATTGAACTTTTCATTTATTATTATTATTTTACGAGAGTATTTCAGCTACGACGACTATATGAACCCACGGGGTGCCGTTGTTTTTGAAAAATCGACCCGTGTATGGATATCTTCACGTTTAGCCGATGTTGCGTTGCTATCGCATCGCTTTCAAGTTGCGTCGACCGCAAATCGACCCCGGTATGGATACCTTCACGTTTAGCCGAGGTTGCGTTGCTGTCGCATCGCATTCAAGTTGCGTCGACCGCAAATCGACCCGGGTATGGATATCCTCACGTTTAGCCGATGTTGCGTTGCTGTCGCATCTCTTTCATGTTGCGTCATCCGCAAATCGACCCGTTTATGGATGTCTTCAAGCTTAACCGAAGTTGCGTTCTGTCGCATCGCTTTCATGTTGCGTCGGCCGCAAATCACCCGTGTATTGATATCCTCATGTTTAGCCGAGGTTGCGTTGCTGTCGCATCGCATTCAAGTTGCGTCGACTGCAAATCGACCCGTGTATGGATATCTTCACGTTTAGCCGATGTTGCGTTGCTGTCGCATCGCTTTCATGTTGCATCGGCCCTCAAATCGTCCAGTGTACGGAAGGGTTTTATACACTCACACCGTGGGTTATATGATTAACTTCGTAGATTGCATCATGTATGTGAATAACCATCCTTAGACAGGTAAATCTACCAGGGTCACAGGTGTAGAATTCCTTCAATACGTTCCACTGAGCTCTTGATTCGTTGATCTTAACTTACTTTACTTATTTTTGCGATCGATGTGATGAATGTGATGATATACCATATGCAATTTTTATACATAGACGGTTGAGTAGAAGAATTAGCCACGAGCGAGATTCGGCCCAATCCCATTCGGATACTATATGATTGCTCGAAGTAAAGCATCATGGTGGTCATAGAATAAGGTCATATAAGTCAAGGCATTCATAATAACGCAGCATAAGAATGCGGATATCATAGCGAACCGGGGTTAAACTCAGATTTTATAGGCCTTTAATAGGTATCGTTATATCATCTTGAATACACGTTAGTAAGTATTAGCTGTATTTATGGTTCCAATTCATGGCTTTTTATCAACTTTAAATGAAGCATAAAATACTTTAATTGCTATCCCAATGGTGGACATACAACGGCCATGATACGATTGTTAAGAGCCTTCAGTTGGATTTATAACCTCAAATTAGTTAACCTCAAATTAGTGCAAAATGTGTAAATTCGGTTGAACATCAAAATGATTTTGTATGGTCAGAACTATTACATTGACCATGCGAAGGATATAAATAAATCACCATTTCACTCCTCGAATTTTCATTCAATATATATAATCTCATAACTTTTTCACATTCTGCAGATATAGTAAATATGTGTTAGCAATCCATGAATGATCGAGCTTAAGAATTGTATGTACTGACATTGAAGCACAATTACTTAGTGGGTGTACACTGGTAGGTAAAAAAGTGGCCACCTTCGTTTTTTTTAGAATACTAGAAATAGAATAAACCGAATAGAAAACATTCAGTACGAAGTATTTCTTCCTCTTGCGTTGATCACCGCTTGCATCCCATGTAGCATAGATTTTATGAGGTTTTGAATGTACTGCTGTGGAATATTTTCATACTCCTCCAACAGCTCGATTCCTGAAAATTCTCTGGCATCAATGGGCGACCTTTTATCTTCTTTGGCTCGTCCCCAAGATGTTCGATAGGACGGACTACACGCTGGCCATTCCAAACAGTCACCAGCGATCCCAGCATAAAAATCATAAAAATGAAACAGTCGCGTATAAGGAACAACTAATAACACCTTTAATGTATCACGCAGGTGTTAAAGAACCCTCGATGAAGACCAAGTTTGTACCAACTTGTAAAAATGTCCGCCCAAAACATAACCTCCATAGCTTCTCGAGAACGTAACTTCTGTTCTTCTCCAAACCCTCTCTCCGGCCGTTGAAGACCTCAAACAAAACCGTGACTCATCCGAAAAGAAGATTTTAGTTCAATTTTCCTCAGACCGATTGATGATATTTCCTTCGAAACAACGTAGCTGTTCTGTGCCTTATCAGAAGTTCTGGATCAGTGGCAGGTTATCTTTTGAAAATCGCCTTACATTGGTGTAAACTGACATTGACGAAGTCGTTAGAATGTCGATTAAGAAGTACATTCGAAATAATGGAACGATCATTCCGAGATGGGACACGATGGAGGCTTGATCCATTGTTGAGTAGCCTCCAGTATTTTGGTAGCGATGGAAGCTCCTTGGGGCAGTTTTTAATGGGATGATCTCAATAAAGATCGAAACGTTGGCACGGTAATCTGTATCACTTGGAACGCTCACCCAAACTTTAAACTTAAAAACGACACGACTTATAAAAATCAAACAACCCGAACGGTAAAAAGAAGCTTTACAGAAAAATCAACAAAAAAGAGATTGTCTATTCAAAGATTTATTTACAAAATCCAATTGTAAACACAAGTGGTAGATTTTATCTGTGTTTTATTTGCTTGTAATCCTTTGAATGAACGAATGGAAAAAAAATTATTTGCACACAAAAAATTATATACTTAAGGAAATATAACCGAAATTAAAATAAAAACAGTTCTTATACAGCATTGATTATTAAACCGTCTGCCGGAGGTGTCGGCCGGCTGAGAATCACTTGAACACAAGATAATACGACATACAAAGATAACAATAAAAATTAAGTAAACAAAGTTAAGTTTAAAACTGTTAGTGCTTCTCAGTATAAAATAAAGCCCAGTGCTCCATTTGCAAAACCAACGAGGTCTGAGTAATCCGAGGAATTAAGTTTTGCGATCAAACTCTCTTTTAAAACTCTCGTAGGTGCCAAAAATATAAATCAGAATGGGACACTCAGCGAAAAAATGGAAGAAGTCTACCCTCGCAGCGCTCAACAGGATCATCCCTCAGAGGGGAGTAA